GGAAATGGATGGAAATGGGATGAGATGATGAGATGATCCCAATGCTCTCATATGTTTTAACGGCTCTTGAAAACACCATGGCTCGGGATGCCATCCAGTGGTCAAATCAGCATTTTCCCGAAAAAAACATGGCCATATTAGGAGCTTTCCTAAACTCAAATGGGGGGTACCCTAACTCATACATTTTAAAAGGATTGTCCGTTCTAAACCATCCACTTTGGGGTACCCCCATTATGGACACCTCCCCAATATATAGGGGTGGTATACCTCATTTTCAGACACACTATGACAAACCCTTTCTCACAGGTCCAACAAGCTTGTTAAACCAGGCAGATTCCATGCCAGATTAAATTCGTGCCTGCATGTTGTTACCCAACTGGATTCAACTGGGGTATTTCTATTTTTCCAGCGATTACTCACCACATTTCGATGATTCGATGCACATTTTCGCAACGTCATGGCCGGGCTGCACTCTTGGTGGTCCTTCCATCACTGGAACTGGAAAAACTGGAGCTAAACATCATGCTGCCTTGGTCACTGGGGGGCCGGCCAGGGTTGAAAAATTGTGAAAATCATTTTTTTTATATCAGTGGGGAAAAAAACACCAATAATTATCAATAATTGAGAATAATCAGTGGGAACAAAACACATAAATTGGGATATGACCCATAATGATATAACCCCTAGAACTCTGGGGAAAAAAAACACCACTTTTTTTTGGGTGGAACTGCCAGCAACGGGAAAACACATATCGCATCAGCTCCTTGCAGGATGCCTCGTGCAAAGTCTTTTCAACATCTTGGACAAAAAATAGCCAAGGCCAAGACATGCAAGAATGATGTGTTGGTTTGTTTTCAGAGCAGAAATGGGATGAAATGGGACAATGGATGACAATGTATGACAATGGCACGAATTTTCAGGTGACACCTCAGCAGAAGGGGAGAAAGGGATGGTGGTCGCGAGATCAACCACAAACAAGGTCACGTGCTGGTATTTAACCTGCTATCGTTTGTGCCTTCGACACCATTTCATACTGTATTCTACATGATTCTGTGTCACCCTGGTGCAATCAACCCTCGCGGCGCGTTTCCCTTTCACTTCAATTTGCCACCCCACCCCACCCCACCCCACCCCAGATGTAGCATGACATATGTATGTTGAGTGCAATATAACATGACGTTAGCGTACCATGACGTTATTACCCCACCTCACCCCACCCCAGACGTAGCATGACGTGTGTATGTTGAGTGCAATATAACATGAGGTTAGCGTACCATGACGTTATTCCCCCACCCCACCCCACCCCAGACGTAGTATGATGTATGTAGAAAAGTAGCAAAAGTACCAGGTTATTTATCAGCACGCCTCCACAAACAAAAGTCCCAAGCGCTAGATAAATTATGAATAAAAAGGGCAAGAAGTAATTTTCTAGATTTGGGTATATAAAGAGTGTCAACCTTCGACCTGCACCTCTGTTGCATCAACATGCGACGAATTTATCAAACTTGACCTTGGATGATCTCTGCAGTCAGTTCTAAGTGGTGAGAGGCCACTTACCTAGCATGGTAGATCCAACTTCAGTTGGTTTCTCCAACTAATCTTCGGAACATCGCCAACAGTGGATGGTTGATCGTTTTACCCACTAAAATCCTATTAAACATTAGGCTATCCGGCTATCCTTGTTTTTTTTCAATCTTCTGGGACCAAGCTGGCCAGTTGGACCATCATCCCCCATCTGAACGCTCCAACTTCCACTGCCGCCAAAGCTGTCGCCAAAGCCGCCGAACCTAGGTTTTCTTGCAAGGGAAAAGGTCTGCTTGGAAAACATAACAAACGAAGGGACATGATTCTGTGACTATATGGAAAATTAAAATAGGAAAAGACAAGTTGAAACCATCCGCAAGTACGATATGAATTCGTGGAAGTTGTCTCTGAAAACTACGAGTTTTTGAGGATCCTCATCATTGCTCATCCCATTTCAAATTTCTGGGTAGAAATTGCAAATCTTTCAAACCAACACCACAGTTTAGATTGAATTCTATGGTATCCCCATTTCTATTGCTTCTATGTTTGCTGCTGAAATCCCTGGCAACCAGACTCGGGTAGACCCCGAGTGTCCAGACATGTTCCCGAAGTTCCCTAAATCACCGAAAGCACCAAAGTCACCAAAGCCGCCTGGGCTAAGACCCAAACCCGTCAGAGATGGCAATTGGATATGTCTGAAAATGGGGGAATAGCTCAAACATATGGCCATCTTAAATGGGGAAAACATGGGAAAACGATGATTAACCATCTAATTTGGTGGTTGTCCTAACATTTTTTAGACAAATGACCATGTTTTTCACTGCTACTCCTGGAACCATCTTCAGCAACTCAAGGCAGCAGTTGTTTTGCTGTTCAAATCCCTGCCGTTGATTTCCAGCATTCACTTAGTGAAATTCCTATATGATAATCAAATCCGAATTTTGAGTGGTGAAATATGGAGAAATGAAATCATCCATTGGTTCATATTGATGGTTGCCAATGTGGCTTTCACCCCTATTGTTTCTTATAGTTACATTCCCCATGTTCAATCACTTGAAAATGGCATGTTCACAATGGTTCGTATGGCTTAATGCTGGTTATATCTGGTTTTATCTGGTTATACATCCCAATTCCATCCCCATTCACCCATTTTTGGAGACTTTGGCCAAAGGCTTCCCGGTGACCTCGACAGAAATGGATGAAATTCCGCAGCCCACCTCCCAGGTCTCCGAAATCGCCGAAAGCACCGAAACCGCCACCGAAGCCACCGCCTCCTGCAGGGTGGGGGAACAGGGGGGAACAGGGCATCGTGGGGGAAGATAATGCTTCAAGACTGCTATAGTAGTTGCCCCCTCCCAGTTTTTGAGATAGTAATATGCTATATAATATTATATAATTCATAAAGTGGAAAGTCACGGGGGTCGGGATGATTGCTTGTTTGAAGGTAAAAACGTGGCAGGAAATCTGTTCTTGGGCGGTAAGCTTTTTGATGTGGCGGAGAAATAGATTGGGAGATGCCCAATTGATGGATGAAAATATATGAAAACAATCCGTCATCTTCCACGGAAGCAAGACACCACCTCTTACAAGCACAGGATGGGATCGTAAATCAGTGACTCTTACAGCTTTTGAGAGTCTGTTGAGTTCATGCTCACAAGGACAGAATCAGAAGTTGATAGTAAGAAATTACAAAATAGATGATAATAGATGATATTCATGTTTTCATTATTTATGGATTGGCAATGATAATCACAATAACCCATATGTATTATTATATATATATATCCGTGTATCATCCATAGATCATGATCACCACCATCCTCGTGTTCGGGAATCCCGACCCAACTTTCCCGTGCACCTCCACGGCTTTTCTCCAAAGCATCAAAGGCCTGGCTGGGAGGTGCCCTTTTGGATGGTGTGTTCCATGCAGCAGATCTGGGTTCCATAAATGGGGACACCCCAAGCTCGCTGGATGGTTTATTTATGTCTATTTCATGGAAAAACCATGAAAAACCCAATCCAAAATGGATGATAGCTGGGGGTACCCCCATTTTAGGAAACCCCCATATGCATTGATTATCACAGTTGGAGTGGATCAGAATAAATTTCTGACCTTCCCTATCGCTCAGTCCATGGTTCTGTCGACGTCCAGCTGTTCAGGGACCATTCCACATATTGCAAGTATGTCTGGTTGGTGCTTCAAAATCGTCCCCTTTTCATGGAAAGAACACAGATACCTGAAGAAATTTGGAACAACATGGCCAATTCAGTGCAACTCGTGGCGTACAGCTGCCGAGGTATTTCGAGACGTTCTAGGTCCGTACAGGATGGATTTTGAAGGTCCTTGAACCACCCCAAACATACTCGAGCGAAAGTTTCATCATCCCAAAGATCACTTTAGGCACGAACCACTTGCATTGGTCATATTGGTTGCAATTCCAATCCCTGTTCTGACCCATGGAAAGTTCCCACTGGTCTACTTGCTGGTTCACCCCAGGAATAGTGGTTTGGTTCACTCCATATTTGCAAGATAAGTAGGCTCCAGTTATGACCTTTCATCATGAACTAAGCCACAGGGCCACCCAGGGCCACGATTTCGTGGCGGATTTTTCACCAAGTAACCGGGATGATTTCAAACACCTCGGCTAACCCTCTGATAAATTAACATGTTTTAACAGTTTGCCATTGAAAATGGCCATTTAGTACGTTGATTTACACGTTAAACATGGTGATGTTCCATAGTTTTTTTTGTAAACGCTGATCAGAGGCTTATAGTTTATCAAAAGTCATCATACATCATCATAAACCACCCATATAAATTGATGGTTTCATACGTTTCATAGCACCCAATATCACCATTTCTGGTGATGGAAAAAACCAAAAAAAAACACCGCCTTCTTCAGCTCCAAGAGGTGCGGCTGGTACTGGGGATCCGAATACCTGGTGACCATCCGATGCGATCCGGGGCCCTGAGTGGATGAGATTTCAATATATACCCGGCCTGGTGATGTCAAAATAGCGATGGAAAATGGCCATAGAAATAGTGAGTTTTCCCATGAAAAATGGTGATTTTCCATAGCTATGTTAGTTTACCAGAGGGTATGTCATAGAAAATTCATCGAAAAATCCAGGTTGTTCAATGATTTCCACTTGTCGATCTGGGTCTATCTATTTCGGGGTTGCGAAATATTGCAATATTGATGAACAACATGATATAATTACCATGGGACAACGGATAGGTTAAAGAAAAATCTACAGTAAAACCATTGTCTTTCTTCCCTATCCATTATCCGAATTCGGGGCATGAAAGATCCGAATATATCCGAATGATATCCCCATTGATTTGTTGCTTCATCCCGGCAAATCATGAAATATATCCTCTTAAACTTAATGACATGCCATGAAAATCATATTATATCTCATTAAATTCCATGAGCTCTGATTAACTCCCATTCAATTCCACTAAATCCCTATTCTTAGACCGCTAGATCATTGATGAATGATTCGGCAATGGCCTCCTTGCATTTGGCGCACTTCTTCTCGAGGCTGCTGAACATTTTTTGCTCCTTGCCTGTCGCGATGTCTCACTCACACAAAAAAAAATCCAGTGGAGTGCATGCATGTATTTTTTTCTATATGATTATATACATATATATATAACTATACATTTTTGTATAACTATATATATATATACATATCCCATATGCTCCATGGATGGTATATTTACCTACATTTGGGTGAGTTTGGGGCAAATGCTGATACATATTCCATATATGGAGCGTATGGGTACATTATATAAAGTATATACATACGTATATAAAGTATTATAAAGTACTTATATATATATATGCACGTGATATGGTGAATAATTTCTTTCCAAATAGTCAAGATGCAGAATGACAATGATCCACTGGTTCATCACCACTTTAGCGCAAGTTGAGGAGGATGGTCAATCCCCATTAAAAAAAAAACTCCAAAGAAATCCCCCAGTTTTGACGATGACATCCACAGTTTTCAGCCGAAAACAGGATGAAAAGCAAAGTTTCGGAGGATTTTATCCGAAGCTGTGTTTTTTTCCATGTTTCATGAGAAATCCACCATAAATCCTCAAGTGTTCAGGATCTTCGCCCAAAAAGTCGCCCAATTTGGCCTCGCCACTTGTCCATCTGCAAGATCCCTTTCACCTGGGACGCCTTCTCTGGTTGCCTAGGCCCAAAGGTCATTGGGTGGGGGGTTGAAGCGTCCATGGAGGGGTTCACCAACAAACATGCTGCTGAACTATGAAAATTGGGAGGTTCAGATAGTTTAAGCCTCCTCAAAATGGGACAATATATACAGATATACAACAAACTAATATACTCACTCTGTATTGGATTACCACCAAATGATGCTGAAGGTAGGTTCTGGTGGGGGGATGACAATATGTATATATATATATATATATATATATGGCCATATATAATTTTATAATATTATATATATATACATACATATCATAATTACCCTGGAGAAGGGTCGCAGCATGAATGGATCCAATACCAAACCAGATCAAACCAGAAACCAGGGTTTCGATTGGAAGGTATCGAATATCAGGGCTAAAGGATTATTTACACCATTCAACTTTAGGGATTCAACATGGCTGTTTTTTTCAATCCCTGGGGGGCGTCTTGATTCTGTTCACATCAACAAATAGTTGGGATAGAAATATAGAATTAGTGGATGATTTATGGATGTTCATCCCTACAAATATGGTATGTCATAGGTAAACATACAAAAAACTATGGAAAGATCCACCATTTTTCATGGGAAAATCCACTATAAATGGTGATTTTCCATAGTTTTTTGTATGTTTACCAGGCCGGGTATGTCATAGGTAAATTCATTCATCCCCAGCCTCATGAACCATCTCGGACTGAGGCGATCCCTGGGATCTTTTCGTTCAGTATCAAGAGATCCAAAAAAACCACTAGGCCGGCTGTCGAATTTAAGATGGAAGCCAACATAATCAATACCCTCTGGTTATGTCAAAATAGCTATTGAAAATGGTGATTTATAGTGAGTTTTCCCATGAAAAATGGTGATTTTCCATAGTTATGTTAGTTTACCAGAGGGTAGAAACTGGGACCCCATTTTTCAGATGACCAATTTTCATCATTTGTGGGATACATTTCCCAGATCAGACATGTTTGACCAATAAAGAACGGAGGATTCTCTTACCAACCTTCTCATTTATGGGAAAGTTGGTCAGTGAGGTGCGCGCCATACATACTCTAATCTGCCCATAGTTTCTTGATAAATGGGTTATGTATTGATAAATCGCTGATTCATTCATACATATTCATACTATATAAACTTTACCTGAAACACCCATGAAACATCCATAAAACATTGATGAAACATCCACGGGACCTCACTCCCAAAGCCACAGACTCCCTTGGACTCGTGCCCCACAGACTGATAGAACTTGGCGAGCGCTGTCTCCTGGGAGTGCTCCATGTATGGTAAAAACCAATAGATGGGGATACTGGATGAAAACTACCACCCAACGAACATGACCTGCCATGGCCATGACTTGGGTGCAAGACTAGCAACTATCATCTCAGTGTCCATATGTCTGGAATCTTATGGACGATATATCACAAAAAATGTGATTTTCCAACGTGTTTTGGATTGTTTTGGGGATTCAGCAGGGATACTTTGGTGGGTTTAGGAAATCAACAACACATATTTTACTGCATGGAGAAAAGACACCTAACAGTCGTGGTGGTTTCCAAACTGAGGCTACCTCCAAAGCATCCAAAATTACATAAAATTAGATTATCCTCTGGTAAACTAACGTAACTATGGAAAATCACCATTTTTAATGGGTAAATCCACTATAAATGGCCATTTTCAATAGCCATGTTGGTTTACTGGAGGGTACTTCAGTATTGAAACTGATGGGTTTTTGGGATCCTCATGTGACCAGGACCCAGCTGGGACGCAGCTAATTCACGTGGTCACGTGAAGCCTCGAAGCTTCGCCCCCTGCTTTTTGGCATCCCAAAATGAATACATGGCGACTCGTTTAGGGAGTATTAAATATTAGGGGGACAGGGTTAGTCCATCTGTGGATTCCACTTGGTCTTGGGTTAAATGTAATTAATCTAATTAATTAATGGCTTAATTAATTAACTAATTAACATTAATTAATTACATTACCAATGTTTGCAAAGAACTTTCAGCTGGCGTGTGGTTATCCGCAATGTCTCGGCTTCGACCCAGAGATGTTTTGGAAATGCTGGGATCAGACATGGGATCATGATGGGATCATGTTCCGCAAGGTCCGCAAGCGTGTGGAAAACCCTAAAAACTTGACCCCCATTTGATCTGTTTGGTACATAGGGGATTCAACTAAACCTATCAAAGGTGACCCATCATAGATTCTTCATCAGCTTTTTTGTGCCTTTTTTCGTCTTTCACCCTGTGGAATTGCACCTTCGGGGCTTGAATTGTGAGTTTTACCCTCTGGTGAACTAACATAGCTATTGAAAATGGCCATTTATAGTGGATTTTCCCATTAAAAATGGTGATTTTCCATAGCTATGTTAAATTACCAGAGGGTAAGGGGTGGTCCCCCATGACAACTCCTCCCTGGACAGCGTCCCGGGCTCCAGCGTTTCTAGAGCCGAGGGCCCACCGGTGCCGAATTCTTCGAACTGCATCTCGTTTCGAGGCTGGAAAAATGATGAAAATTCATCGGGAAACTGATGATAAACCATGATAAACATTGATAAACCATAGGACCATAGGTTTTTGGTGGTACCCTATTTTCAGACAAAATCCATGAGATGGTTGGTTTTCATGGGGTTTGCCATGATGCTTTTATGGGTAGAACAAACAGCTGGGGCAACTTGGGCGTTTAAAGCTGCTCAGACGAAGACACAGCAGAGTTCAGCACCAACATAACGACGAATATATGATATGTGCTGTACCAGGCATGTGCTGTATATCTGTATATATCTGCATATTACGTGCACGCGGTCAATGGATGTGACTCGGATAGCTTGGGGATTCAACTTGATCATCAGGTCGAAACAAGTGCTCGGCACAACAAAAAGTATTCGATGGCTGCAATTTGGAGGGCTCAACATGAATCAAGAATTGGATACAAAAAAGGACCTTTCTTTTTACCAACATCTTACAAAGTGTCGCACTTGGTTCCAAGATCCAAGGTGCATCTTGGAAGAACTTGTTGAAATCCGCGAAGGGATCTTCACTGCCAAACATCTCTTTGAAGAGGTCCTGGCACCAGGGGAACCCGGCCAATGAAGCAGCACAGCACGGTATATCCCAGCAATATCATGGAGATATAATTTCATACGATGCAATGTTCCCATATAATTTCCCATGTTCCAAGGGTGGGACATTGCCAGATTTCACTGGATATCTGTGATGTACTGTGATATGAGTGAAAGCATGTAAGGGAAATCGTATCAAGATTTGCCTGGAAATTGATCCACCAACACATCGAACATCTGCCCATTCCATGTTAGTCCCTGAGCCTTCTAGTCCATTCAAATCACCATCGTACCGCCCAAAAAAAAAGGAAACAAATTGCCATGGGATGTTCATCACAAGGTTTGGGGGGGTCTTTACTTTAGAACTGCTGCTCTAACCGACCCTGCGTCATGGCGTCCTTGGGATCTTTGAACCCAGAGCCGAAATTCCTGGTGATCCCAGGCTGAATGACATCCGATTGTATTGGCTGAGAAAGCCATGTATTTGGGAGAAAAACCCATTATTTCCTGCAACTCTTGCCAATTGTTCCCATAAATGTTGATCAAGTAAGAGCACTTGAAGAAATCTTGGTGTCCACTACCAAATGGCCAATCTTGGATACCCTGCATCCCTTTTAAGTTGGTTAGTTCATATCCCATTCATAGCAGAATATGAAAGTACACAAAGCTAAAAAAAACCAGGTGCTTCCTAAAATACCTTCCCAATGTTTCTGATGAACGCAAAAAATGTTGACAAATCAATCACCAACTCGATGGTCAATATTTATCCCTCCACCATTTTTCATGATTTCTAGGAAAATCATCATTCTAGCCTCCTGCTTGTTTGTTTAAACCCCGACGGTCATAACAATTTCTTGGCCCATGTTCAACCCAAAACCCGGGATATTCATGTCAAGTCTTCACCACAGATATCACACACATTCCCAATTATGGGTCAAGATTTATTATATAGTTAATTAAAACACTCTAGACCCCATTCAAAGCCGTCATAACCCATTCTTGTTGTTCAAATCAACATTTTTTATGTTGAAATCCGAATTTGACGATGTCATCCCCATGTCTGATAGTCCCGCGGCTTGTTTTCCTGCGAGGCGAACAACTCAGCTCTCGGCTCTCCAAATTGCCGCCCCGGAACCCTCAAAGGCACGGCGCCCGAAAGTCACAGATTAGGACGCTTCAAAGACTCCAGCGGACAATCATCAAAAGCATAGCTACCAATGTGAGTCACGGAGTTTGGAACCTCCAATGTCTTCAACGAACTGCAACCAAAGAAAGGCCAGAAAGGAATTCGCGTGATAGAATTTGAAAGCGTCAAGTTCATTAACGAAGAACAGTGACTGAAAGAAGCGTCACCTATTGAAGTCACCGAATCTGGAATTGTCAACCTAACCAGCGCACTACAATGAGCGAAAGAGGAAATTCCAATGTGAGTCAAAGAGTTTGGAATCGTCACGCTCTCCAATGAACTGCAACCCTTAAAAGTCCAGTTCTCAATCGAAGTCACAGAGTTTGGAATGGTCACGCTCTTCAAAGAACTGCATCCCCAAAAAGCCGACTCCCCAATTTCCTTGACAGAGTTTGGAATCGTCAGGCTCTCCAATGAGCGGCAACCCTCAAAAGCCGAATCCCAATCGAAGTCACAGAGTTTGGAATCGTCACGCTCTCCAATGAACTGCAACCTTCAAAAGCCCAATCCCCAATCGAGGTCACAGAGTTTGGAATGGTCACGCACTTCAAAGAACTGCATCCCAGAAAAGCCGACTCCCCAATTTCCTTGACAGAGTTTGGAATCGTCAGGCTCTCCAATGAGCGGCAACCCTCAAAAGCCGAATCCCAATCGAAGTCACAGAGTTTGGAATCGTCACGCTCTTCAAAGAACTGCATCCCAGAAAAGCCGACTCCCCAATTTCCTTGACAGAGTTTGGAATCGTCACGCTCTCCAATGAACTGCAATTCTGGAAAGCCGAGTCTTGAATGGAAGTCACGGAGTTTGGAATTGTCACATTCTTCAAAGAACTGCAACCATCAAAAGCCAAAATCCCAATGGAAGTCACAGAGTTTGGAATTGTTATGCTCGGCAACGAACTGCGACCCTGGAAGGCTTTGCTTCCAATGCGGTCCATGGAGTTTGGGATGGCAAATGCCTGAACTTCTTTCATTGAATCACTATTTTGCAGGACGTGAGTCCAGTTAGAATGATGTTCGCTCCACATGTTCCAAGCTACAAGCATTGTGCAAATGCACAGTAAACGGCGGTGCTGTCTTCGTCTTTTCATCGATGTGACGTGAGGGCACCAAATCATACCAAATCACACTTGCACGGAACGTTGTGTCACAGTAAAACAGTTTGAGCACAAGCACTTCCAGAAGCAGAGCATTTGGAGATTAAACCTATGACACCATACTCCAAGGGACATCTCCCAGCTGTTCACCAGGGCACCATGGTTTTAAACCAATTTTAGGGAAAATATGTGTAAATCACCAACAAAGCCATAGCGTTTTTCCAGATGCTCGGGACGAGTTGGGGCAAATATCACTGACTGAGGTGTAGCCAGTATAGCCACCCCCCGAAAAGATGCCCGAAAGGGTTTCCAGGCGGTTGTAGATGATATAGATTTATATATAGATATAGATGATATTTATACATATGTTCAGGTGTCCCACTTTTCTACCTTTGAGATAATCCTCGAAGTCTTACCCTGAAGGATCGCTGAAAAACCCTTGATGGATCGCCTCTACCCTGACTGCCGTGCTGGGTTGCTGCATCAGTCATCAGAAACCTGCCAGACCATTCCTGTATCAATCCATTTAGCCTGCCAACAGTCTTGTCATGGTATCTAATTCAACAAGTTTGTTTTGGAACAGGTCCACGAAAAATTCAATGGTTGTTTTTTTCCAGAAATCTTACCCAATAGTGGATTTTCCCATTAAAAATGGTGATTTTCCATAGCTATGTTAAATTACCAGAGGGTACAGGAAACCATCGTTTTTATCCCCCAAAAAGGTCGGTCCCTTAGCCGATTTTCCCTCCAGAAATCAAGTCTCGGATCCCTGGATTTTTTAAAACATCCAGTCGTCCCCCAGCAGTCGGGGATGGCCGGATGGCCACGTGGTGAATCTCTGGTGTCCTGTGTGAAACACCCACGTTTGGTCCTTTATATAAACCGTCAATTTGTGGTGAACTTCCCAAAAAAAACGAACAAAAAAAAACAAATCCGCTTTGGCTCTGGCTAAGACCAACTGATTCTCATCTCAAAAAGAATGGTCTCTGTTTAGCCCAAGACGACCAATGTTCAACTGTTCAACCCCTAGGATTTCCCGAAAAATCCGGCCAAGATGACCCATGGACCATCGATGGCTGCACCCGGCCCGTTGATAAAAGACAAGCATCCCGAAATCAAAGCCGCCCTGAGCAAAGCCCTGGGCAAAGTCGCCGGAACCAGAGTCGTATTGCCTCGCGATGTGGATGCGATTTTGGTGTTTTGAAACACTGAAAAGTCACAAATAAATGATGAGTTACATTTACATGAATGATGTATTTGGATTTAATTAGATATGAGTTTATACGGATTTGTATGGTTTTATATTATATAGTTTATATATGTTTATCTTAAAATGGAGATCAACTGAACATATGAAAACTGGTGATGGTTGCTTTTATAGTAGTTCACAAATTTGGTGAATGATGTTGAGCCGTATCCAAATGGGTATGGATCGAAATTATCAACATCATGAAATTGTGGGGGGTTCAACTGTACAAAACTGCCCGGTAAAATGATCAAACTGATCAACTGATGTAGGTCGGAGTCAAGAAATGGCCCTGAGGATAAAGCAATGCAAATGATTGGGAGTTAGAAGTAACAAAATTGGATTGGAGTAGCAAAGATGAGATTTTAACTTTCCAGAGTGGCAGAGTGGTTGGCATGATTGCAACTTACCATCTTAAGATCTATATATATTGCCATGAGATTTTATAAACCACTTTCCTGGCGATGCAGGAGTTGCTGCTGAGTTTGCAACCAGCAAACTATGGAATCCCATGGCATGGTTTTCACAGGAAAATAGCTGTGATTTTCTGGACACCCTCTGGTAAACTAACAGCTTGCTATGGAAAATCACCATTTTTAACAGGTAAATCAATTATCAGTGGCCATTTTCAATAGCAAACTGTTAAACTAACAGAGGTTTTCATCCCCCAAAGTCCCCTTGGGAATGTTTCAAACTTGGTCGTTTTCGATCCCCAGATACTAACTGGCTCATTTGAGCCACATTTCCAAAGCACTGTCAAATGATCTGGAGAATTTATGGCATTTATGGCCTCACGGGAGTTGCCCCTGATCCAGATTGCTGGTGGACAAAGCTGCTTTCTGAAGATTGGCAATACCCTCCGGTAATTTGTTACAGTGTTACAGTTTGCTATTGAAAATGGCCCAGTCGAAATGGTGAGTTTTCCCATCAAACATGGTGATTTTCCATAGTTTTTTGTATGTTTATCAGAAGGTAATCTGGGATTCGCCCTGACACAACCATGACGTCATGGGATGGTTGTCCACTGGCTACCCATCACCGCCAGTTTTTGAAGAAACCAGCCCAAAAAGGTGACCAATAGAGCCGATAGAGCTGTTAAGCCCAATAATTTTTGTGAGTTGTGAATAAATGTTTGAACTTCAAAAAGTTTAACCCTTCTTGGGCTGGGTTGCTATGTATGAAACCTCTGGGGCTATGAAAATCTCTTCTTAGAGTAGACTTCCCCTGCCTTCGCCGATCTGCGTTGGACAGAACCTAGAGGTTCCCCACCCAGCTGGTGGTGTGAAGATCATACCTTGTTCATGATGAATGAGGGATATCACCAATAAACCACCAAAAAATGCCAAAAAAATGTTTTACATTGATAATTATGCACCGATAAAAATCTTTGAGAATATCGCGGTGTCCATACCTACATGAATACCAGTGATTCTGGTGCATCAGCGTAGCTTGGGGGGGGTGAAATGCCTGTCTTTTGGATGGTTCTATCTCCATCATGCATTTCTCATCCATTCTCTTATTCTCACTGGTGCTAAGTAAGTAGGGAATGGGGGAATTTTGTTTTTTTTTTTCAGTTAATAGATGTTAATAGTTTTTAAATGTTATTAAGATCATCCCCATCCATTCCCCTCATTTCCCATCCATTCCCTACTTACCCTCTGGTTATGTCAAAATTGCTATTGAAAATGGCCATAGAAATAGTTGATTTACCCATTAAAAATGGTGGATCTTTCCATAGTTACGTTAGTTTACCAGAGGGTACTTAGCACCAGTGTTTCTATTCAATCAGCACCAGCCGGACCTCGTAAGCTTCTGCCACTTCTCGGAAACGCTTCTCTGCTTCCTACGTACGGATCATCCCAAAAAGGGCACCGAGATCGGCTCGGCACCGAGATCGATCCATAGATTGTTAAACGGGTGCAATCACTGGTGCAATCACTAAATAATATATACACTATATAATATACAGTATACATTATCATATTATTAGTATGATATAATAGTTAATAGTATATCAATATATAATTATATATGATATATCCACTAATACAGTAATATATACATATAATAATATATTATTATATCATATGATTAATAGAGATATACAGTACATTGATATATCCTTCCAGGAAAACCCCGTACCATGACAATGCCGCCCCAGCTCATATAATGATTCCTCGCGGTTCTCGGGATTCTTGTCCGGATGCCATTTTAAGGCCTTTTCTCTATACGCCTCACGGCGCAGATCGGCGAAGCCGTTGAGGAAGCTGAGATTCGTGGGGTGTCCCTGTTTTAGACCCCAAAGCTCTTGGGAGAATCCCAGGAAAAGCGTTGAAGTGAAAAGGTTGATGATAAACTGGTTGGTGGTATACTTACCCCTATGAAAAATGATGGACTTAAAGTCAGTTGGGATTATGACATTCCCAATATATGGAAAAATAATCCACATGTTCCAAACCACCAAGCAGTAAAAAAAAAAGGTGGCTCTATTTCTGGACATCATCCTTTCGGACAGTCATCCCCCTCAGTCCTGAAATCCAATTCTCTCAGCTAAATAATCAAGTTAACTCCTCGAACATATCAATATTCTATGGGTTCAACTGAAAATGATGGAAAAACTGCAGAAACACATGGACATTGAACATAACCATGCAACTTGGAGCTAGATTGCACACGTTTTAGGGAAGGAAAACCATGGAAAAACCACGTCCCGACCCACGTCCCGCTCACCATGACAAATTACATACTTCCCATTGATTTCAGTGGATATTCTCCCATTTCCTTACCATTTCCCAGCAATTCTATGCAATTCTTCTCATGATATGTTCCTTCTTGATGGTGACTTTTCCAAGTTTTAGTGATCTAGAATCTAGAATCTACCACATATATTTTAAAATATCAACCCTGTGGAGTTGTATCCCATGTTTTTTTGCGAAACCAACTGAATAGCAAATATCACACCAACTTTGGTGGGTTCTCGAAGCCTTCTTGATCTGTCGGTCATCTGCATCTTTCGCCACACCAAGAACCTCGTAGTAGGACGGGGCGGCCAACGCGACCTCACAGGGGACGCTAGATGGTACTCCATGGTTAGTTCAATACTCAAAAACTGTCCAATGACTTGGATGATTTGGGGGGTAGCCCGATGTTTTTTTTGATCTCCAAAGGTCCAAATGTGAGATAATGTGAGCTGTCTGCTTAGGTTTGTCGAAACAGAAACAGTGGTCAGTGGTTCAATAGAAGTGTGAAGTATGGTTCCATGGGCAAACCCAATGACCCTGTTCTTTTTTCAACAGATAGGATATCATTAAACATCAGCACAGTTAGCTGAATTGCTTCCAACTCCATTACACAGTGAATCACATTTCGCAACCCGAGCTCTCGGAGATGATTCATGGGGTTTTCCGTGTTATTATATATATATATTTATTTATTTATTTAATCTGCCAACAATAAACCTCAAATTTTGGAGAGTTGAAAAGATGCCAATTTTCCAAATTGGCAATCGCAGAAAGATATTTTACATATATAATATGATATGTATATTATATATAATGTATATATACAATATTATATATATATACAATATTATATATATATACAACTATATAATACTATATATTATATATAGATTTTTTATATATAGATATATTATATATATAATTATATATATATTATATATAATTATATATATATATATATCCATGGGAAAACAAAAAACTCTCCATCATAAACCATCAAGCAATAAATGTTGCCAGTTTTTGGCGGTGAGTGGAAGCCGTCAAAAACATTGAAAAACTGGCAGAAACTCATCACCCAGTCGAGAATATTTTGGTACTACAAAACCAAATATGGGGGCCTAAAGACTGACATGGGTTTGTCTGATAGGGTACCAGGGTACTCCTAAATTTGATGCCAAATATCATCATTGTCCCAATTTTCCACTGCCAAAGATGGGGGGTCATACCGTCATACCACATTTTCCGACACAAAAAAACGACCAACAGCCACCTGGAAGGCTGCCGCGCTGAGCAGAACTAGGACGCGCCAGTGGCTTCTTTTGCAGCCCTCCTGAAGACACGTTTCTGAACCGGGACCCGGGCGGGCAAGTTATGGATCTCATGAAAGTTGATGAAGTTGTTACCCCTATAGCCTATAGCAATCAAATATAATCAAATATAAGTTGGTAAACTTATATTATACGAGGAATATTTGAAGCAACCTGGTAAACCAAGCATATAGATGCATATAGGTGAGGTAAACCTATAGGTAAACCTACAGCAACTAAACCCAGAATAGGTATAAATTCATGTTTTCTCCATGATTTCCAGCTTTTCGGGATCGTTTTAGGGCTGTTTGCTGTCCATCCCTGAATCCATGGCAAGGGGGGGTCATTCTACATCCCACTTCAAGGGCCTAACCAATTCGAGAAACCCGGTTGGGGAGTTATTTTGTTACCTCATTTGTCAATTGAAACTGAAACGACCAAGCGCACATATTTCTCCAGATTCCAGATTGGGGCTTGGCCCGAAGCTAACGGCCATGATATAAAATGAGGTTCCAAATTCTGTCACAACCCATATATTTAGGTGTTTTTGAGCGTCACCCAACACAAAAAAAGGGTGTAATTCTGAGACGACCAAAGAATACCACATAGTTTCATGGGAGTTTCAACATGTTTTCACCACTATTTGAAGATTGCATGTACAGGTTTCTCTTGTGGGAATTCAGTAGGGCAAATCCCCCTTTTCAAAAGGAGAGATTTTGAGGAATTGTTCATCGCCTCAATGGTTAAATCATCGCGTTTCCTAATAAACCACCTTTTTAAGGGCGATGGTATGAACCAACAAAACCATTTCTGTTGTAAAACTGTGGCTTCTGTATTACCATGTCAAAGTTTACCCTATAGGGTAATTATTAGGCTTACCACATTGTGGCTTACCACATTGTGGCTTACCACATTGTGGCTTACACGTCGAATAGACGGTGATATGTCAGCCCTCCTTCTGTGGCTGGCATACGGTGGCCATGGCCCGGCACGAAAAACGTGGCTGGCAGTGGTTTTTTCACGACTGGACTGAGCTCGGGGCATTTTTTTTTGTCGCCAACAACGATAGATCGTATGGGATTCACCCTGGCTGCCATGAACCATGACTGGGGATGGTTGGAATATATCTATGATGAGTTTCACTGAAAGACCAGGCGTGAGATGGCGTGAGGGCCGGCAAGGCCGCGAAAAAAGTTATGTTAGAATGCTCAGTGCCACTGCTCTGCATGTGACATTGGGTTTCACTCCTTGTAGTTGAGTGATGTTCAGAGGCTTTTTCTCACACTCTCTGTTCTCTCAGCAGCTCGACGTTTCGGAGGTCAAACACAGAGGGAAGCGTCGAAGAGTGCCAGACAAGATGTATTAAAATAGCTTGCTACCTCGACAAGTGGGGATATTAATCAAACTCAACCAAAATGAGGTGTAAATTCAATTAAAAATCATCCATTTGGCATTGGGATGTTCTTCTTTTTGTTTGGAAGACCACACACAATCCATTGCGAAACACCACAATTTGAGACCCACCACCTGTTGAGAGGGAGTTTCCCACAGATATTTTCGCGATGACTAAATTGCCATCGTCCATTACTCGTATGACGCTGGAGCTTTCGGTTGTTTCATAAATCGACAAGTAGGTCCTTTTGGATTGGTTGGAAATTTTATAGGAGATGGCACCTATATGGAAAAAAAAACAACGAAAAACGTGGAAAAACGATGGTTTCTCATGGTATCGAATGGCTGGATGGATGGGCATAACCGCATAACCATAGTTGCCCTGTCCTCGACGGATTCAGTGAATCACATGCCTAAAACCAATCCAGAATTGTGGCAACAAGAAACCCTGAGATCTTTTTCATTCTTTTTCGGTATAGAATCATAGAATATGTTTAATTCTTTTTACAAGACATTTTCCCAAAACTGGGATGGTGTCATTTTGAATTGCCGCAAAGCTCCGCAAAGTAAGTGATTGCCAGTGCAGGGCAGTCTTTTCCTCTGGTCGCATTGCGTCGCAGATCATGCTCGGCTGCCCTCGTGACCCTGGCCCGGGCGTTGCGGTCGGGTCTGGGTAACCCCATTGGAGGTGGGGATCCGGGTGACACTGGAATCTGAATAGATCACACGCACTTGGTAAATCCATGTAAATCCATGTAAATCCAACAACAAACCTTCAATTGATTTGGTGGTTGAAATCCGACCCATCTTTCGGTGACCTAGGGGATAGTTCATATGGTTCATGCTTTCCTGGGCCTGAAGATGCAGTGCCCGCTGGAAAACCTGAAATGTCATTTCAGTTGCGTTGAAAACGATCATTTACTGCAGGAATTGAAGTGCACTACCCGAAGTCACCATGGGTTTCAATACCAAACTGGTCTAAGTTTGGATGATTTGGAATAACCCTATTTTAGGAAACCTCCATATGTTCGTGCAGTTGAACTTTTTGCAGCTTGAGTTTCGCCCTATACATTCCGGCCTCGCAAGTGGCTGATGGGAAAGGTTGAAAAGTGCTTCCTCCTGCAAGACCAAACGAGTCTGCGCACATATGGGGTCTTCCTGAAATGGGGTCTTCCTGAAATGGGAAAACCCTAAAAGGGATGGTTTATAGTGGAAAATCCTACTAAAATGGATGATTTGGGGGTACCCCCATTTCAGGAAACCTTCATATTTCAAGAAGTTCTGTGTAAAACAGTGTAAAACATACCTACCCCTGCCATGAATGTATATGAATGTCTGATATATTAGCCAACAATCCCCAACCCAAATGTAGCTAGCTATACCATATACCAAATGTGCGGTTATGGATTTTTCGAACCATCCTGGGATACTTGCAAGGTCCAAAAAACGCAGTGGCCAAGCTGATGTATGGCACTGATGTTCCATTCAATTCACATGACCTCGTCAAAACTTGGGACTTGCAAGGTACGTATAATATACATGGACATAAAGCTATACTTCAGAACAATGCATGTATCATATATATATATATATATTATCACATATACTGCATGTCTGTAGACATATGATGCAAATATATATATATATATATGCATGTGTATATATATATATATAAGCGTGTATATGTAATGCATGAACATGTGTATGTATATCTAATTGTATCTACGAAGTACGTATCGACATACAGACACCATAAAATACATTTAGACTGATTTTGAACATGTGCGGTCAGTGTAAAAACTCTGTGACCTACTGCGCGCAATTCTCAGGTCATAAACTGGTCCCTGTTCAGCACGAGAGATGGTGGACAGTGCGTGGTGGCCTACAGCAAGCCCATAGAAGATAGAAAAATATATTCCTATATATATATATATTCCTAATAAAATGGTGATGAATTACTGTTCATTGCTGTTCTATCTATCTGGGTGTTGCTATATCATATACGGTCAGCTCTGACCTCGGCTACTGACCTAGTGCACAAGCGACACACAAATTTTCCCAATCAGCAATAAGTTGACGCAAATAACTTGGTGAATTCTATAGGTTATGGATGTTTTTGGGGAATATAACTACAGAATTCAACCATAGAATATAATTATGTTTATCTATGTTTGTTATTTAATAATTCTCAAGTTTTGGGTGGATTTCAAAAAAAAAAAATCATGGGGCTTTCAAACCAACCAATTGGGGCGCATCACCTTTTAGCCGTAGCATGGCGCACAGCGCAAACCCCACAACCCTTAAGAACTCATGCCATAGCCAAATCACCACGGCACACCGACACCTATCCATATATGTGCACATTGTTTTCATGAAAATCCGACGCGGACTGCAACGCTTTGTGCCGTTTTTTTATCTGTCTTAAACCTGACAGAAAGCGTTGTAAACCCATGGCACACCATCAACTTGACCTCTAGAAGACCAGGAGTGTGTCATTCTCATTGGCGGACTCTCATTCCTACCCTGGGAAAAATATACTCACAAAGCGCTTTTCCCAGTGGCACACCAGGAACATTCCAGCACTAACAACACAGCACAATGGCACTGAGATATTCAAGGTACTCTACGCCTCTCTAATCACTTCTACTCTTCAATTCGATTCTCTTCTCTTCTCTATATAGATGTATAATATAGTCTCTTCTACTCTACTCTTTTCTTCTACTGTTTTCTCTTCTGTGTGAGTCAAGCTATTGGCAAGCCATCCCCAGCAGGTTTCTATCTCAAAAAGAATGTGTCTCAAAAACATGTGTGCCCCTGCAAAGTTGTTAGAAAAATCAATGCCACAAACAATTGATTCATCCAGTAAGAATGACACGTATATCATGGACTTCCCAACGGCACACCGTTTGCGGCACAAGAAGACAACCGCGGCACAAGTTGCATAATCACATACATATAAATATATATATACATATATATATACATATATATACACATATATATATATACACATACATACACATACATATATATATATATACGTATATATATGTGTACATATATATATATATAAATATATATTCCACATTAAATGGTCAGTTTGGGTTGAAGTTTGGGTATGTTCAGACATAGGATGTGAATGCCGCAATTCAAAGCTGCACTCAACTTTTTTTTGCCATGTCCTTGACATGCAGATTTCGTTTCCTGATCTCTCAGGACATCGCGGGCAAAATTGGGAAGCCTGCTTGGGCTGAAGACAATATGTCACTGATACACGAGTGGGCCCTAAAATGACACTTGGGTGGTCAAAATGCGGTAGCCCAATTATTGGATGGTTGATACTAAACAGTATAGACTTAAATCTGGGGTCCCCCAGATCTTCATTTTGACCCAAAGCCACTTGAGTTTCCCAATTTTCACTAGGAAGTGCTTTCCTAGAAGTGCTGCTCCAGCGGCGCCAGCGGTCAGAAAAATGCTTATGTCTTTGGGAAGTGGGGCCTTAAGCAAACCGTTCAAACACTGTTGGAACATGCAACTGGCAATCAACCTGCGATAAAGATTCGATTGTGGTGGTTACAACTGGGTAAAAGATGGTGAAAGATGGTTTCCATGTTCTTGCACTAAGTTGTCTATTTGGGGCAACAAATAACAATAGTTGGAGTCCCCAACTTGTAGATTCCGTCCACATATATATACATATATATATATATATACATATATATATATACTGTAAATGGCAGCAACACCAGTTGATGAAATGAATGGCAGCTCAAAGACAAATCAGTTGTAAAATGAATAAATCAGTTCCACCAAAAGATCAGTCTGTTCCCGCTCCACTGCACGTCCCACCAACTGTTGTTTTCACGATGCCAGCTGAGAAGTGCTATGTTCACGGACACTTGGCACAGGTATCGGCTGGGCTCGAACCCTTCTTTCCAGAGAAAACTGCAAGGACACCCCGGTCCAAAATGGTAGACCCTGCTACCAGGACACAATGGCTCAAAGGGCGTATGAGCCCACCCTGCCCGCACCTATGCTCGCCTGAGCCAACACGCCTTGAGAAAGGACACTCGAGAGTGGAGGTGCTTGTCATCCTCGGCATTGGAATGTACAAATCACACTCCCAAAATTTCTTTTTTTTTGAAAGTAAAAGGGAAATTTATTGAGAATTGGTTGTATCAAGTGAAGTTGCATGTGAAGTAGGATTGTTATTGAATGTATCGTTCTCTGAATTGGATCCTTGTTGTTTGAGCCATTTGATTCTGTCACGAGTTTTGGCGCGTTCTTTCAACATTGAATTTTCATCACAAAGTCGATAAGAACCATGTTTGAGGGTCTCTCTGCGAAATCTGGCTTCCATCGCTTTAGTCAGTGCATCTGCTAGTTGGGCTCCTGTGTGGACCCATCTCAAGTTAATACCTTCCCTTAAAGTCTCCTTGATGGCCCTGGCAACAAGCTGGACACGGAACTCAGAGCACTGCGGAGGAGCAGTACGAGTGATGAGATCATGCAGGCTCTTGCAGTCAGTTACTGCAACATCTGCGGTCGAAGGCAATGTGGCAACTGAGATGGCTGGTTCAACCTTCATAA